GCAAAAGCAAACACCACAAATTTGCCCCTTTCTCTCTCTCTCTCTCTCTCTCCTCTCTCTCTCTCTCTCTCTCTCTCTCTCTCTCTCTCTCTCTCTCTCTCTCTCTCTCTCTCTCTCTCTCTCTCTCTCTCTCTTCTCTCTCTCTCTCTTCTCTCTCCTCTCTCTCTCTCACACTCACTCACTCACTCACTCATCCTCTCTTTCTTTCATTCTCTCTCTCCCTCTCTTCGCTCCTTCCTTCCTTCCTTCCTTCCTTCCTTCCTTTCTTCCTTCTCCCCTCTCCTCCTTCTCCCCCTCCTCCCTCCCTCTTCTCCCCCTCCTCCCTACTCCCATCAGAAATCTGCCGGGTCTCTGAAGACGATCGTTCAGCAGCAAATACGAGTTTACGATCACGCGCTGGGAGTGGGTCGGGGTTGGAGGGGGGGGGGGTGTTGCGGCATGATAAGCCACTATAAACATGTATCCAATCTATACGGGCATCTCGTGTGTGTATGTGTGTGTGTGTGTATGTGTACTTATGTGTCCTTTTATATTTCATGTGTAAGTAGGGAAAGCCACACTAAGAGGAAAAAAAAAGTTAAGGAAATAGGGATGGGAGGAGAGAGAGAGAGAGAGAGAGAGAGAGAGAGAGAGAGAGAGAGAGAGAGAGAGAGAGAGAGAGAGAGGAGAGAGAGAGAGAGAGAGAGAGAGACCTACAGAAAGAGAGATTGACAGACAGAAAGAGGGAGAAAGTGACAGAGAGATAAGAGAAGAAAGAAAGAGAGAGAGAGAGAGAGATAGACAGAGAGATACAGAGAGAGAAGAAAAAAGAGAAGAGAGGAGAGAGAGAGAGAGCAGGAGGGGGGGGGGAGTTGAGAGGGCAGAGGGGAGATGCGGTACACACATAAGGTTTAGTGTGAGGTAACCGATCATCGTCTCGTGGGGGCAGAGGGCGTGTTCTCGCCAGGTGTCTCGCGGGCGGGATTAGCGCAGGTGATTTACACGCTATAACTCTGGGTTGTGACGAGGCAAGCACAGGTTTTTGGGCGAGAGGGGGAAAGGGAGGGAGGGGGAGCGATTGAAGGAGAGTAGGAGGTAGAGAAGAGAGAGGTTGGGGGAGCGATTTAGGGAGGAAGGGAGGGGGGAGAGAGGGGAGTAGGGGGAGGAGGAGGGAGGAGCGATGAAGGAGAGTAGGGGGAGGAAGGGAGGGAAGGATGAGGGAGTAGGGGAGGAAGGGAGGATGAGAGGGGGGGAAAGGAGGGAGGGAAGGAGAGTGGGGGAAAGGAGGGAGGGAAGGAGAGTGGGGAGGAAGGGGGGGAGAGGAGGGGTAGTGGAAGGAAGGAGGGAAGAGAGGTGAAGAAGGGTGAGAGAGGGGGAGGAGGAAGGGAGTGAGGGAGGAACGAAGGAGGAAAAGCTGTGAGATAAGAAGGGGAAGAAAGGGAATGATGGGAGAAGGGTCGTGGGAGAATAGGAAGTGTTGAATGAGCGGAGAGGAAGAAAATAAGTGAGAGAACACAGAGAAGAAAAGGAAAGGGAAAGAGAAAAGAGGGGGAAGAAATAAAGTGAGGTGGAGATAGCAAAACGGAGTAAGAGGTGAAGGAGAGAAGAGGAATAAGGGAAGAAGAAGAGGAAAGGAATGAGAGGAAAGGGGAAGGAGATAAGAATTAGTAAAAAGAAAGAGGAGAATAAGAAGGATAGAAATGAAAGGGAGAAGGGAATAAGGAGAAGAGAAATCTTATCAACATCGAGCAGGCAAAGTCCCCTCTTACAAAATGTTAAAAAAAATTCTGGTTTATCTCAGTTTTAATACACGAACCTGACCTCATATGACCGCACATGAGACGATTTTATATATTATGCGTTGTTTTATCAGCTGCGTGTACAATTGGCGTCAGAACGAAGTCTTGCTCCCTCTTCTCTCGTCTCTATTCGTTGTACACAGGTATTAGTGTACAGATATTTATCCATCTCTCTCATTTGGCTGATCTCCAGACAGTGTGTAGCAGAGATCTTCACACAAACCCCCCGCCTCCTCTCCTCTCTCTCTCTCTCTCTCTCTCTCTCTCTCTCTCTCTCTCTCTCTCTCTCTCTCTCTCTCTCTCTCTCTCTCTCTCTCTCTCTCTCTCTCTCTCTCTCTCTCTCTCCTCTCTCTCTCTCTCTCACACACACACACACACACACACACACACACACACACACACACACACACACACACACACACACACACACACACACACACACACTCACTCACACACACAACTCACTCACTCATCACTCACTCACTCACTCACTCCCCTCTCTCTCCCTCGCCCTTTTTCTTTCTCCCAAACTCTGCCTATCCCCCCCTCTCCCTTTCTCCTTATGTCTCCCTATCTCTCCCTCTCCGTCTCTCCCTTCACATACATTGTGTCTTTCTCCTGACAGCCTGGGGAGTGCTCGCACCATACCTTCTCCCCGCCAGTGTTGTGTGTGTGTAGATGCCGTTTCTTACCAGTTTCCCCGGTGTGTACTCCCGCGATGGTTTGATAGCCGTTATTTAGTCTATGTTTAAACGATGCTCACTTTTTTTAACCCCGCTGTGTTTGTCAGGGCTCCAACTCCTATGAATATCTTACAACTTCAGGCATTATCCACAGGGAAAATTCTTGAGTGGGGGTTATCGCCTGTTTCTTCCACACTTGGGTTATTGGTTTGTTTAGGTATAGGGAATGGGGTGTAGAGGAAGGGGAGATGATGAGTGCGGAGGGGAGGAGCGAAGGGAGGAGAGGGAGAAGAAAGGAAAAGATCTGGAAGAGGAAAGCACGTGTTGGTAGCATCAGAAAGATCGGTTTACCCCTTTCAATGTCTTGATTCTGTTAGGGAAAGTCGGACAATTCCTTTGGAAATGTCTCCTTTATGCTTTATCTCCCATTCTTGTCTGTATCCAGTTATCCTGACCCCCATATTTTACTCCTTCATTTCTCTCCTCTGCGAAAATGGTCATTGTGAAGATTATTATTGCCGGGGTATGGGGGGTGGGGCTTAGCGTGTTCGAAAGTCTAAGGGACTTGCACGTAACATTTCATTTACTCTAAACATGGATCAGTGGGAATAATTGGAATAGCCTTTATTTATTTATTTGTTTTATTGTTATCGATGTTGTTATTTTCTTATAGATTAATTAGTCTGATTGTTATTGTTATCATTAGTATGAATTGAATGTCTATTCCTTTCAAATTGCTTCATTCAGTACATACTAAAAAAATATTTTGTGCGAGTAATTATAGCGAGAAGTAAGGGTTAGAGGGAAGAGGAGAAGCGCAGGAGGAGGAGAATAAGGAGCTTCTCATATACTTTCCGAACTTGGCACTGGGTGGCATCTCCCTGGGAAACAATTGGCATCGGGTGACCCTTCTTGTGGCGGTACGGGGTCTCCTGTCTCTCAGTCTGCCCTCATTTATTTTTCCCCTCTCCCCCCCCCCTTCCTTCGCATTCGTTCTAAATATAATTCGGGTGTTTAAGGGGAAGTAATCGGGGAGAAGGCTTACGGGGCTGCGTCTTATCTTTGGGGGAGTACATTGTCGGCGAAGTGCATTGAGGCTCGTAGTCCTTACGGCCGGGTGAGGCGCCGTCGGTTCCTCGTCCTTCGGGTTCTCGTCGGGAGATGGAGGTTCCTGGGGGCTGTCGGGAGGTCCTGGCGGCTGTCGGAGGTCCTGGCGATGTCGGGAGGTCCTGGCGGCTGTCGGGAGGGGCGGTCGGGAGGTCCTGGCGGCTGTCGGGAGGTCCTGGCGGCTGTCGGGAGGTCCTGGCGGCTGTCGGGGGTCTGGCGGCTGAAAGTGTTCCCTTTACTTGCGGCAAGATGTAGGGGCCCTTGTTTGGGTGGAGATAAGCCCGGAGGTTTTGTTCTATTGTATTTGCCGTGTTCCGTGTGCGCTGTATTGCGGGTGTTTGCGGTTGGTGCATTGAATGGAAATGTGTTTCAGGAAATGAGTTAAAAGCATATTGAGAAGTTGAATGCATGATACAGTTTGGACACAGAATTCCCTGAAAATGCCCGAGCCAAGACCTCGCGCCCCGCCCTGTGGTTGAGCATGTGAGGGCGAGCGGAGCATGAGCCCAGCGCTCTCGTGTACCCGCGGCTGCGAGACCCTGCGAGCGTAGAGAGGGAGGCGGAGCCAAGACAGCGTGGGCGTACAGACAGCGTGGGCGTGAGGGCAAGAAGCCAGAGGCGGCGGTAGCAAGGCTGGTGATGGTGAGGGCGGCGAGGGAAAGGCCCTGGGGCATGGGCGGGCCGCCGCGCCACACGTGAGGGAGTTGCCCTGCCCGTGAGCGGTTCGAGGACGCCCCCGCGCCGCGCTCTGGCCACGCCCCTGGCCCCGCCCCTGGCCACGCCCCCTGCCGCCATGCTGAAGCAGCCCGGGGGCACAGACGCCGCCATGTGCGTCCCCGACGAGCGCCCCCGCAAGAAGCTGTCCTTCCGCGAGCCCGAGGTCGTCGCGCCCTCCAGGAACGGCGGCCACGCCCACGGCGCCTCCCTCAGGCACCCGCCCCCGAGCCCCGCGCACTCGGCCCTGCACGCCCCGCACCACTCGCACCACGCCCTCCGCCACAGCATCGGCCGCCCGCACAGTATCGCGGGCATCGTGGGATTGGGCGGCCTGAGCGCCCTGGGCGGCGTGCCGGGCGTGGCCAACCCCGGGCCGGTCGGGCGCAGTGCGTCACCTCGCCCGGCGCCGCCAGCGTCTCGGGCGTCACGGCCATGCTGGGCAACCCCGGCCTGCTCGGCCCGCCCTGCGTGCCCGGCGTGCTGCCCGGCCCCGCCACGCCCATCCTCACCCCGCCACCAGCCCCACCCACGCCCGCGCCGCCCCGGCCAAGGGCGGGCCTGGCGCCCAGCCGGCGACAGCCAGTGGCAAGTCGGCGGCGCCCTCGCTCCCCTCCGCGGCGCCGGCGAAGGCCGCTCCCCCGCCCGCGCCCACCAAGCCCGGCGGCACTCCGCCCGCCGCCCCAGCGCTGAGGATGTCGGCCGCTCAGCCTCCCACGCCCCCGGTGAAGGCGGCTCCCAGCCCGCTGGCCACGCCCACGCCCAAGACACCTGTCAGCCCCGGTTCCTCCAAGGGCGGCGCATCGCAGCAGGCGGCGCCCTTGGGCAAGGCGCTGCCCCCGACCGGCAGCCGGCCGCCGGGCCAGGCGAAGCCCACCAAGCCGGCCTCCAGAAACAGCTCCCTCAAGAAGCAGAGGCCGTCGCCGCTGGCGGGCGTGCAGCAGGCCGTCGCCTTCCTCACGGAGCGCGGCCTCACCAACGGCCGCCCGCGCTCCGTCCACGGCGACGCCGCCTCGCCCGCCGCCGCCGCCGTCAGCCTCGAGGACATCGACTTGGAGTAAGTGCGAGGCCGGAGGGAGGCTGCGCCAAGGCAAGCGCGGAGGGGAGTGACACGAGGGGAGAGGGAGGGTGAGTGACGTGTGAGGGAGGGGGAGTGACGTGGGAGGGAAGGGGAGGGGAGTGACGTGGGAGGGAGGGGGCGTCAGCGGAGCGAGATGGGCGGGCAGGTGTGCGTCTCCCGCGGGCGAAAGGTGACTCGGAACAGGTGGATCTGTCAGCTGGGGGAAAGGTAAGTTCTTCAGGTGGAGCCATGTGAGACGTCGGGGCGGCGCCGGAGCCTATTTCTGATGCATCCCCTTCGCCCAGGTGGAAGGGTGCAACGTGTTCGTGCAGTCTAGCCGTAGCCTAAGCCATAGTCGCAGTTGCAACAGGTGAGTCCGACCGCGCCCGTTCTCGGCCTAAAAGGCCGTGGCAGACACGCAGCAACCGCCTAACGCGTCCGTTTCCGTTGCAGAGTCAGGCCATGAGAATAGTGAGAACAGTCGGCCAGGCGTTCGAGGTGTGCCACAAGATCTCCGTCAAGGACACGCCTCCTTCGCCCGAGCCAGCCGAAGACGAGGCCAGCGAGCACGGATCCGAACTGTCAACAGATAAGCCTAGGAAAGGTGAGTCCTCAACTTGTTCGGATTCGTCTGCAGATGCTCGAGCGTGGGGCAGTTTTTCTGCTTTCTACTTAAATTATACGTGTGTGTGTGTGTGTATGTGTAGGTTTATGTATGTATTTATGTATGTAGATAGATAGATAGATAGATAGGTAAATAAATATATAGCTATAGATATATATAATTTATAACACACATATACATATACATATACATATACATACACACACACATACACATACACATGCATACATACACACACACACGCACACACACACACACACTCACACTTACTCACTCACACTCACACTCACACACTCACACTCACACACATATGCATATATATATATATATATATATATATATATATATATATATATATATATATATATATATATATATATATATATATATATATATATATATATATATATATATATATATATATATATATGAAAAAGTATGTATGTTTTTAGAGAGAGACAAAGGAATAGTTGCCACAAAAATTAGCCGCCGTGCCCTTAACGCATTGCCTGCCCCTGACTCGCGCCTCGACCCGACAGATTTGCTAGACACGGAGAGCGGGCAGGAGGACCTGGTCACCCTCACGCCCTCGGACACCGTCAACGAGGACTCCGTAGAGCTCCTGCCGCAGCGACCCAACAAGCTAGAGCCTCTCGCGCCTCCGGTGGGATCAGACATCCTCTCAAAGGTAACGTTGGAGCTTCCGGAAGTCCCGCAGGTCGGTCGCGGACGGGCCTCGCCGTGCTGACTGCGAGTCATTTTTTCTCCTTTTTCTCTTTTTCAGTTCGTCGTAACGTTGTGTGGTCAAGGTTACAGTGGAGGTCTTCTCTGCTGCATATACACTGAATTGCATTGAATTTGAGTGTTGCGTTTTATACTCTAATCTTTAGTATTTGTTATTCATAATTCATAATGTAAGATCTACATTCTTGTATGATTGCGGAGGATAATCCTCTGAACTGGAGGCCAAGCGGCGTGGCGTGACATGTCCTTCCTTCGACAGAGTGTGGGCGAGACCTACGCCTCCCCCCTGAGCGAGCCCCTGCCCTCGGGTGACACTCTACCGCAGGCGGGCACACCGCTGTCTGTGCATCACGAACTACAACTGATGCGGGAACAGCTGGAACAGCAGCAACAGCAGACGCAGGCGGCTGTGGCGCAGGTGCATCTCCTCCGGGATCAGCTCGCGGCGGAAACTGCTGCGAGACTTGAAGCTCAGGCGGTTAGAGAGAGAGAGAGAGAGAGAGAGAGAGAGAGAGAGAGAGAGAGAGAGAGAGAGAGAGAGAGAGAGAGAGAGAGAGAAACCCAAAAGATGAAACAAGTGAGTAAGAACCCGTGGCACTAACCCGTCCCTCCTCCCCCAGGCCCGCACACACCAGCTCCTCGTCCACAACAAGGAGCTGCTCGAGCACATCCAGGCGCTGGTGCTGCAGGTGCGGGACCTCGAGGTGAAGCTGTCCGGCCAGCAGAGCGCCACGATGCCCTCCACGCAGCTGCTCCCGACGCCGCCGGAGCTAAAGGCACAGGTTCGGTGACGGGGCCCTCTCCAGGAGCCCCTTTGCTTATTGTTTTTCGTATCCTGCTGGACAATGTTGTTCGATTTTTCATATATATGTCTAAGAGTTTGAAGCTTTGTCCTTTCCACTTGTCTAAGAGTTTGAAGCTTTGAAGATGTTCCACTTGTCTAAGAGTTTGAAGCTTTTATTATTGTTATTCCACTTGCCTTTTAAAATGATTAGCTGCATATCCAGATTTAGCTAATCCTAAATGTAACTGTAGCTTCTGTGAGTGTTACTTCCATTCATGGCTTAAAGTTGCTATTTTTTCTTTATTTTCCTTTTTTATTTTTTGTTTCGCTGATCTAGGACTCGAATATTAACTTGAAGCTTACTTACCAAACCACATTAAATACAAGGTTATTTTATTTTCCCTTAAGGCCTTCTTTTTAATATAGTCTCCTCTTAATGCCCCCCCTCCCCAAAGTCATACATTTCCCTGCGCCACCTGTCACTTCTCCCTTTGGCTCTTAGACTCCGTTAAATTAAACGCTGAAGAGCAGTAAGAGCTGGTCGAGAGAAGAGAAAAGTTTACTCTTAACCTGTAGAAGTATTGTTTGCAGTCCTCTCCTCTTCCTTTCCCCTGTATTCCGCCTCTCGGATGATCTGCCAGCTCTCGTGTAGCAAACAAGTACAAAACTTCAGCATGGTGTGTTTCTTGGTTTATTTGTCTGTGTGTGTGTGTGTGTGTGTGTGTGTGTGTGTGTGTCAGTGTCTATGTGCCTGACTGTCTGTCTGTCTGTGTTTATGTTTGTTGCGTGTATATGTCTGCGTCGGTCTGTGTGTATTTGCATGTGCATGTGTCTGACAGGCGTGTGTTTTCCCCCAGTCGAAGTTACATTCCACTGAGCAGTATTCCTTGCCATTAAACTTTATATACAGATGTTATAGGGTTTGCCTCCCTAGCGTAATCCCATCCTGTTGAGGATTTTTGTACTTGTTCGCTCAAAATTTCCATAGATTTTAGATAAACTTTTAGAGCTTCTATATTATCCATCAGTATTTTTTTCTGTTTGGTCTCAGTAGTAATGTAGATTTGATTAAAAGTACAATATGTGGAGAATGTAATATTCTTGTAAATTATTTCCTGTAGTTATACTCTTTATCTGATAACTTTTGCTTTCAAATTGAGAGTCATAAAAATCAGGTACTTTTACTATCTTTTATGTATTATGAAGGACCATTTTGAGACCCTTTCCCAGTGAGAGCCTCTTTAGAGTATCAGCAAGGGATTTCATTCTGGTTTTAATGAGATATACAACAAAAGCTTTCGTAGATTTTGGAAAGTAATTTCTCGTGTGAGTAGAACTTACAGTATGGTAGTATTTAGCTGACATGTAACTTGTTAACCTTACGTCGTTTTGAGGCCGCCTCGTAAATTGCTGCATGGCATTAGTTTGTTGGTGTCCCGAGACCCGTAGGTGGTCGGCCGACTAACCGCCAGCGTAGAGGCTAACTCGGCCGAGCGGCGCCCCCCCCCGAGGGCCGGCGGGCTAGTGACCCCGCGAGGCCTGCATGGCTCAGTAGTCTCTTTCGTTTGCAGAAGCATGGTGTGTAGTGGCTGCTGCAGCGAGTGGCCAACTCATGCTCTCTCTCTGGCCAGCTCTTGGTGCCCGGCGCCAGCCCTGGCCACACCAGCCAGCTGGCGGCGGCGTTGGACCTCGGCGGCGCCGCCCCGCTCTTCCGCCCCCCGGAACCCCCGCCCACGCCCTCGCCCGGCTTGGCCCAGCAGTCGTTCCTCTTCCCCTCACCCACCTCCCCAACCAACTCCGCCCCCTCCCTCCTGGGGACGCTGCAGCTGCCGATCCTGGCGCAGGACCCCAGCTCGGCCCCCCACTCCCGCGAGCCCTCCCCCCGCGTCCCCTCTCAGGGGCCGCTCATCCACCCCCTCCCCGTTTGGGCCACCGAGGGCGGCCGCGGCGGGGAGGTAACTCTGGCTGTGCCCCGACAGGACCCCCTCTCCGCCCCCAAGCTGCAAGGGCTGCCCCGGCCCCGCGGCGCGCAGCGCTACGAGGACTGCAGTAGCACGCCCTCCCTCAGCAGCGAGAGCGACCCCAAGCGCGACAGCAGCGGCCAGTCGTCGGGCGAGAGTGTGACGCAGGCCGTGGCGCAGCTGTACGCCCTGGAACCGCAGCGGCTGGCGCAGGTGCCGGAGGACGCCGTGACGCTGGGCCCGTACGGGCCGACGCCGCTCGGGACGCCGCGCAACCTCAACGGGCCCATCACCCGCACCGCCAGCGAGCGCGTCTCGCGACAGGAGACCCTGGCGCAGCTGCAGCGCATGGCGTGGGCGCGACACACCACCAAGTGAGGCCGCCGCGAGGAGCCTCAAGGGACGGTCTGCTCGGCCCGGTCAAGAACGCAATCAACTCTTCCGTCGCTCCATCCCTGAATAATCAAAACAAAACAGACAAGTGCTGTGAATAGAAAAAAAAATCGCAGAATAGTAAAAAAAAAAAAAAAAAAAAAAAAAAAAA